AATATATTATAAATTATAAATATATTATAATTATATTGTATAATATAATTTATTATATTATTTTATAATAAATCCCAAAGCAATTACTTTGGGATTTCCTGAGTAACAGTTTCCCTCTAGCTAAGACTCTTTACCTACTTAACATGCCTGCCTGAGGCCTTAAGTCTGGGCACTACAGATACATAGGTAATAATTACATGTAGGACATCCACTGAAAAATAAAGGCTGATTTCTAATAAATATTGCTTTCCCATCATCATGCGCTTGGAAAGCCATTTCCAAGCACCTTCATTTATGGTGTATGAAACTTGGGAATTTTCCTCTCTTTGTAAAAATATTTCAGTCCGGGGGTTGGCTGGGCAGCAAAGAGCTGTGCTGGGGCCAGGCAGCTGAAAGCTGCATTGCTGCTGCTTCTCCCTGCCCCTTGGCTACAGTGCAGGCCAAGCTGCCAGCGGGCAGGGAACTGAGCCAGGGATGGATAGTTTTCAGCTGCACCTATGCTGCAGCTGAGAGGTGGGGAGAAGCAGAAGCATGGTGGATGGAATTTCCTGCTGCCTGGTCTTGGCTCAGTTCCCCACTGGGTGGATGCTGTGCCTGTGCCCCGGCTGGGATCTGGGGGCTTGAAGAAGCAGTGGCGATATAGGTGCAGCTTCCAGCTGCCTGGCTGCAGCCTGAGCACAGGTAACCTCCCTCCCTCCACCCACACTGCTGCTGACATGCTGAGGAAGGCACCTGGACAGCACAGAACTGGGGCTGGATTGAGCTGTCCTCTAGCTTATGAAGGCTGCCAGTCCCTGCTTTAGTCAATAATTCAGGCATTTAGTAATGAAAATGTGGACTGGTGCAGGGACTGGAGGTGGTGTGCAAACTACTCGTGCACGTATCTGCACTGATAAGCCTCTGTATGAAGTAGAAAGCCCTGGTGCCATTTCCTGTCATGGCTGTCTCCTGAAAACAGGATAAGTTGTGGCTTTTGTGAGATGGATGGCTGATTAAGAGAAGGGAGCCATTCCTTTTTGTCTGAGTCTAAATTTAAGTCCATTACTGAAACAGATTTGCCTTATTTGCTCAAGTAACCTCCCAAACAGTGCCACGTGCCCCACTCAAATTTCTCCAAACACCCACTTCTCTAGATGGTTAACATGCATTTCCTTCCACCCAGCAGACCTAGGTTTCAAAAACGTCATTATCCTGTACTGCAAGTGCAAGCCACATTTCTTTGATCTCACTTTTTCTAATATAAGTCTATACAGCAATATGTATGTTCATAAACCTCCCTCCCCCTCAAATCAGCCAAATCACACCTCCCAAAAAACCTCTCATCCACTTCATGTGGAGTGGATGAGATGACACACACGACAGACATCAGTCAGTGTCTTGGAACACTACTGGAAGGCACTCAGATACTATGGTGAGGAACATGGTATAAGAACCTAGATAGAACACAGTGTACATTAACCCAGAAGTCAAATCCCCCCTACCCCTGCCCCATTCTGACATCACATGGTGATGACAAATTCAAAAAGGTAATACCTCCATGTTAACGTCTTGTCTGGTTTCCCAATTCACTTCACCCCCTCTATCGTTAGGCCTGAACACTGTGCAGAGCTGGGATGATATGTATACCTTTTACAAGGTAAAGCACAACTGTACTCAACAAATACTTCTTAAGCAAATCTACAAATATGTAAACATCTTTCCCGCAGGAACTGCCTCAGCTAATCTCTCTGTCAGGAAAGTAAAACCATGATACAATGAATACAAAATGTATTAAAGCTACCCCAGCAAATTCAAATTAGGCAAGTTAAAATGCGAGGGAGATGCACTTGTGGTCATTTCCCTCTAATGTTCTCCCATTTCACGTTCCATTTATCACAAGATAATGGCCTGGTTTACCTATGAAATCCCAGATAAATATGTTCTTGTGAAAAATCCGAGCTGATTTGAATCCATGGTGGAAAACCTGCTCCAAGGCTGCAACCAGGCCATTTTCTCCACATAACAGAATGGTAAGGCTTCCCCTCTATGGAAAAAGATACAATTCTTAAGTACACTTTTGCTTGGAGAAAGCTTCAAAGCAAGCCAAGAATTGATAAAGATACTTAAGGCTCCCATTTTTATGCTTATACATGTTTAATCGTCCCTGATTATATAAGTGTTTACATGGAATTTCCTCTTATAGATAATGCTGGAGAGAGAATACCTCTTTTTCTGGCTTGTGAAAATGTTTCACAATGTTGTTTACAGCTTCCCCAATTCCTTCCTGGATCTGCCCCGCATTTGGCTCTGTAAATTAACAGAGAGCACAGTAGCTGAATAAATTGACATTGAAACAAATGTACATTCATCAAATTTACATGTTTTAATAGACATGGCTTAAACCACAGGTTCTATTCTACCGTTATTAGGAGGAGAACTCATTGAGTCATTTGTGTTGAGCAAATCTGAACCCTCATAAGTGACATGGGAACATTAAAACTAGTCAAATAAATTGCCAGACTTAAATTGCAAACGTCAGCGCCTTGTTTTATAAATGATACTTCAGCTAATCAAGCTCTGTCCATCACATGCTAGCAGCACTCATTTTGCTAACACCGTTTCAGAGATGTGAAGGCCAGAAGAAACCACTGAACTCATCTAGACTGACCTCCTGTACAGCAAAAGCTGAAGAATTCCATCCAGGAATTCCTGCATCAAGTCTATCCAGGTTGTAGCTGTACTGGTCTAGAGGAAAAGGCAATCAGGACTCATAGTAGAGATGATATATTTTATTAGACCAACAAGATTTTTGCAAAAACAAAATTTTAATTGCAAGTTTTGGGGCACAAACACCCTTCTTCAGGCATTGGAGAAAAGATTGTAAAAGTTCTCCTGGGTAGAAATGACAGTTCATATTTCATAGGATTTCACAGAGGAGTCAATAGATGGAAAACTCCTCTAGGCAGTCAGTTCATAGCTAGTATGAAGCCTCTCACCTCCTGTGAGTATCTGTGATGATGCAAATTTTCCACCCAGGAGAAGTTTTACAATCTTTTCTCCAATGCCTGAAGAAGGGTGTTTGTGCCCCAAAACTTGCAATTAAAATTTTGTTTTTGCAAAAATCTTGTTGGTCTAATAAAAGATATCATCTCTACTATGAGTGCTGATTGCATTGTCTATAATTTTTAATTTAGAGCCCATATTTATTTCAGAAAGACATTCATTCTCAATGTAAAGGCTTGGAGTGAAGCCACAACATACACTGTTCAAGTTGGTCCAATAGTTAGCTACCACCAAAGTTAAAAAAAGAAAGAAAAAAAATATTTCCAGTCTGAATTTGTCAAGCTCCAGCTTTCAGCCATTGGGTCTTTTAATGACTATGTGCTAGATTATGTAGTCTCCCACTATCAGATCTTTCTACCTATACACGTACTTATAGGATGTCACCAATTTACTTATTAATCTTCTGGAAAACTAAATAGGAAACTCATTCTCACTTTAACAAGGTTTCCAGACCTCAAACCATTCCCATAGTTCTTTTCACACCCTTTCTAATTTTTTCAGCATGCTTAACACTTTAAGACACTGTAATAATTAGTATTTCTGAAAGTAGGAAGCAATGCAGTATTTTAAAAACCAAAAACCCTCAAGCCTTGATTTGAATTACTGAGCTTTGTTGTTCTTTTTTTATTCAGAAATGCACTTAATGGATAGCTAGACATGGAACCATGCTCCTGGACAGCAACACTGATTTCAAGCTGCTTTCTTTAGGTTTTGTGATATTTGGAGACAGACACTGGTAACTGAAATAAAATCACCTGGTGCTTTACTCAAGCTAGATAAATTTGTTAACAAGATTGCAGGCTGAGATTTTTTGCAATAGCAGGAGACTACACACAATGAGACAGAACATCTCTTTTGGTCCCATGTCCTTTGCAACCCAAGCCCTCTCTAAATGTTACACAGATTATGCAATTAACTGGTTAATTGTGCAATTAAGTTAGACCGGCTACGTTTGCAAGGTAACTACCCTGCCATAAAAAGGTCCATCCGGCTATAAAGCTAGAGCTAGAAAATATGTAGTACCTTTATAGCTGGTTTCTATCCAGCTTTAATTTGCATGTGTAGCAGGGTCTCCCCTATCAGCTGCCGAGGCTCCCACCCACATGGGTGAACCATATTTAACTGGGGCTGAGAGTCCTGCAGCTAGTACCACAGCTGCAGGACTCTCCATCCTGGCAGCCTTGGGGTGCTACCAGGGCCAAGAGCCCCATCAGGTGCAGGACTCCCTGCCCCACCAGCTTTGAGGTGCTGCCACAGCTGTGAGTCTGGTCAGCTACCAGACTCGCAGCTGCAGAAGCTTGCTACTTGCTGGTGGCAGGATGGCATTACAGGATCCCACCATCATGCACAGATGGCACGGCAGGCGGTATGATTGCATGGGTTATATAACGATATGTAGATACCATCATGCCTTTACTTGAAAGTTTAGAGGGGACCTATGCCTCAAATCAGTGAAAGAAGCCATTGTCCCTGTTTGACAGATGGGGAAGTTTAGAGACGGTAAACAATTTGCCAAGTCAGAGCAGCTCAGAAGCAGAACCAGGGTAAGTGGAGGACCTTTCACACTCTCAAACTTGAGACTATTCCTCTAGATCTGGCCTTGCTTTTATAGCCAACAGTCCTGTTCAGAACGATGTCTGCTTCTCAGTAGTTATCCCATCATGTCATAGTTGTAAGAACTGGAAATGGTACAAATGTACTTGTATTTTTTCCTGTCAGGGAAGTGATGCTCAATCTGCGAGCTGTGGTAGGAGACTTCTGCTGGGGTGGAGTACGACACTGTTTCCCCAGGTCTTCATCTGATGTGGATGACACCAGTTCTCCAATTAGAATTCTCTCCAGACTGCCATCATCAACACCTTTACCCAACCATCGTCCACAGGGAAACCTGCAGTATTGCCCAATACAAGATTTTAGTTAGGGCCCTGGCAGATATTACACTTAAGGAGTGACTAGTGTTATAAATTACTAACCCGGACACATGTTCAGGGAATTACTGGTGCTATGAAAAGGGAAACCAGACAAAAAAAAATACACAAAAAACGTGCAATATTTTTGTGGCTAGTTTCTAGGCCTGTGTGAAGCAGCAAGTATTCACTTTGGATTTGGATTTGGCTGATTCGGAGGGACGGTGATTCAATTCAGAGATTCAAATCACTGTCCCGATTTGATTCGGCTGAATCAGATCCGAAGATTTGGTGCCGCTTTGGAGATTATGCCATAGACTAAACAGGCAGAAGTCCTCACCATGTCAGACACAGCTGCCTATAGCTGGTAAGTCTGTTGTGGTGGGTGGAAGCAGGGAGGGAAGGGGCATTGGGGAGGGAGGGATTGGAACTGGGGCTGGGACAAGCTGCCCAGCCAGGGCAGGGGTTGCGGGACTTGGGGAGGGGTGCAGCAGCGCTCAGAGCAGGGCCTCTGTCTTGCTGCTGCTTGCCCAGCCAGGAGGGGGGCAGATGTGGGCGCAGCTCACTCTGGGTGTAAGGAGGCAAGCAGCACAGGGCATCGCCCCTGCTCCCAGTGCTGCCACGCCCACATCCTGCACTCTGAGTGCTGTCACGCCCCCTCCCAGCTCCAGCCCCAATAAATTTGCTATTAGATGCAAGAGTGACAAACACTGCAAAATTATTCCAACAGTTCATCCAGATTCAAGCACAGAAACAGGCATAGAGAAGATCCCCCATTCAAGCAGTATTCAAGCCTTATCTTGGCTGCAGCTGTACTTTCTGAAACCGGAAAACTTTAAATTCTCTGGTGCATAAATCAAGTTAGCCGTGTGCATCCTAGTTCTGCACATCAAAAAAGACACTAAGGGTTTCTAGGGTTTCTGAAACACATTATCAGTAGGGATTTCAGACTCAAGTAATTAGGAGCTAACTCGCTGCTTACTTGTATGTATGGCCTGTGATTTCATTTCTGACCATGACGCAATCAACCAGCCATTTGGCTAATAGCCCTGAGTTGTCATGACCAATCTGAACAGTTGTTAGCTTTCCTAAATTCTGGCACTGAAATGAAAAACAAAACAAAACAGATTTTACTCAATGTTGAAGAAAGATGACTTGCAGTAATTCAATTCACAGTTTTGTTTAATTGGATTTGGCTGATGTAGAAGGGATTCTTATTGAGGAAATGCCGCTAGAAAGCATAAGAATAACTGGAGCCACTGCCTGCTGGATGCTATGGAGGAGACTGGCAACATGTGGCAGAAGGCATGGTGTGTAGCTGATCTAATCTCTTTGTGGGCCACAGGCCGCCAAACTCTGCATTGGAGCATGCTTCCTTTCTGGAACAATGCATAAAACTTTCTCGAGTCTGACTATTTCTTTGATGTAAAACTCACTGGGAAAGCATGCTACACAAAGCCCCATTACTGTTGGTCCCCATCCACAGTGACAACTCAGCACTGCTAACACTTGCTAAGTTAGCTCAAGGGGCAGAGGTCTGTGCAATGGATTTAGAAGTTCCAGCCCTGCTGAGGATCTGGAAAGGTCAGTATAATGACACCTGATGCATTTTTTTTCCAATTTGCTCTTTTAAAAACTGAGAAAATAACATAAATGAGCGAACATTAAAGAATACTGATGTTATGAAGTCAGGCACGTAGAAGTGGGAGAAATGTCAGAATTAAGGATGCCCGTGCCACCTAAGTTTGCCACCCTTGTGCATTATGAATCAGCCTTGATTACCTGATGCCATGCTGTCCTTTACCCCACAGGATGCTTGCCTCACTCAATGCGTAATCAATGAATGCTCAACTCAGCAATCTTTTCTCTTGTTCAGCATATGGCCCCAAGCCTCACTGGATGCCTATACACTTTGCCTAATTAGGTACCTAATTAATATGCTTTAGCATTGCTTCAGTGTCACGGGTATAAGCCCCTGAGGTTTAAAAAATGGCTGCTGGGGCACTTTAACTAAAGCTCATTGACTGAGCTTTAGTTAAGGCATCCCTTGGTCATTCTGAAATGTGTGGGGGCTTAATACATGTGATGCTGTGGTGTTTTAATTAGAAAGGGTCTCCAGGAACCACTCTAGTTAAAATGTCCCCATTCCCCACCCCGGGCACATGTATAGGTGTGTTTAGTTAACATTATGTAAATCCTGCACAGAAGAGGGCACTTTCTACAGCATTTATTAAACAACCATCACAAAATCCCTGTGAAGTGACGAGGCATAATCATTCCCATTTTCCAGATGACAAGCTCAGGCACAAAGAAATTAGGGTCAAAGGAACCCACTAACTTTGGTTGCCCAGTCTGAGACCACTAGAAACTGATTTTTCAATGTGTGTTTTGCATGATATGGTGCTGAATACGTCCCAAGTCAAGACTCCCACTGATGTAAATTGCAGCTGAGAATACAGTACTCAGACTTTGCAAATCAAACTGTAGGGAACCCAGGAAATGAGGAACACACAATCACCTGTGATTAGGTTTAAATGACTTAATTAGTATTACACCATCTCTATGGCCAAGCCAGGGATAGAATCAATTTTTCCAGAACAGCATTCAACTGCCTCAATCAGGAGACTTCTCTCCCTTCCTGTAATCCCTTGACTCATTCACACCAGATACCTCCCTAGAGATTAGTCTCCCTCACTACACAACCCAGATGCCTTTACAGAATACGTCTATCCTGTCCACTGAGTAAGGCAGGGTTCCCTTGGAAAAATAAAGGATGTGGCCATTTAATTAAAGAATATCCTAATGGATATGCACAGGAGAGACAAAAAGAGGTTCTCAGAAAACCTTAGATGTGGTTGTAAATTTTGGGCATTTGTCCTTCACCTTCAGTAACATTATTTTAATGTAGCTGTTGTGTGCACTTTAATACTTGTATTGAAGTAATGTCCCAAGTGAAGATTGTGCGGGCTGGGAGCAATCTGGGCCCTTTTTGTGCTCTGCGCGGGCTGCGGCCAGCAGCCCAGGCACGCTGGGTCGGAGAAAACAGGCGACACGCTAGAATTAGGCACGGACGCGTAATGGTTGATTCAAGATTGTTTACTTACACCGAAGATGGTCGTGGTGTAGGCTGGACAGTTTCCCAGGCACAGCTCCGCTTAAATCCTCGTTTGAAGACTCAGACAATATTCGGATCACTCCCACGGAGTTGTCGAGGCTCCGTGGATCCTTTTGCGCGCAGGGAGAGGGGTACGTTGAAGGATTGTGAATGGCGACGGGGAGAGGCTAGAGGCTGGTCAGACCTCTGTTGCCTTCTTGAAATGCGCTGGGTCCGATAGGCTCCGCAGCGCTTAGAGATCTTCACACAGCGTGAAGTCTCCTCCTCCCGGTGTTCGTGGAGTCCTCCCTTGCGGGGGGTCTCCTCGGAGTTCTCCAACTTGGGCGGAATAATGGGGCTCGAATTAGAATACAAATGGCGGGAACTCTTTGCACTGTGCATTTCTGTGCTGCAAAGAAGAAATGCACCCTGCAAAGAAAGCTACAAACGGCGGGAAAATAATTCAGTGGTGCCAAAGCACACAAAAACAAAAATCACACCCTTGGGTTGTGACATCCCCCCTTGCTGAAGGCATAACTGAATTATGCTGCACGTCTGTCATTCGAGTGATCCAGAGCTTATCACGAGTCGTCAAACGAACAGACAAACAAACAAACATAAAATTCCCCAACATAAAATT